TTATTTTCATGCAAGCCCATCAGTGGGTTCTACTCTCTGAATTCAACATCCTGATCAAGTTCCTTTAAGTTTTCTTACTTGCAGAGTAATTGCACAGACATACACCCTACTGACAATATCATTTCACTGCTGCTTTTCATTTACAAAGGTCTTCAAAAGTAGTGCACAAAATTACAAAATACAAAATAAGACATCAAAATACAGTAGAGTAAGACAAAGGAGGAAAAAAACATAGCAATACAAAATTATATGGTAAAAGTATGATTTCTTGCCTCCACTCTCCCCCTTGCCAACTTAATCCCGTTCCTTACACATTTTTCACATGATAGAGAACCCAGGCATTTTCAGTACCATATGCATGTTCCATGTTCCTAAAAAATGTAGAAGAAAAATCAACTGCTGATTTTTTTTTATTCATGTGACAGAACAGGACATTTTAATCCCCTGATCATGTTTTCTTACAGATCCACACCAGACTAGTTATAGGTATTCCATGACATTGTAAGCTGAACTAAACGGTGTTCCCAAGTTTCAGCCTTTTTACAATCTGAATTTTTTTTAAAAAGCAAATAAAAGACACAGGACTGTTTTAGCAAATTTACTCCTTTTACCATTTAGCACTATTTTGTCCCAATTAATATAATGTACTGAGACCATAAATTTTCCATGCGATTTTTTATTACACCAAGATGCTATTTACTCTGATTGCCAGCAGACTGAATGCATTTCTATGGAGCACTAGGAATTCTCAGTGGGTTAAAGAAAAAAAAGGCACATACATTTAACCCAAATTCTAACCATAGCCAGAATCCTAACCTTAATCCTATTGCTAATCCTCAGTAGGGTTCTCATGGAATGAAAATAAATAGCTCACTCACTGCAAGATCTTTTATTTTGGTTAAACAACTAAAAGAGACCCAACCACCATAGGCATCCTTCAGTCTCGAGACTCTATGGTAACATGATCTGAATCGAGGAGTGTCCTCTCCAGAGCATGAAGACTAAACAGTATAAATCTAAAAATGTCTACTGGGGTGTACATTTTATATTTTTGTACAGTACTACCAATTCTGTAATTTTCCCTTCCTGAAGTCCCACCTGCCAGATCTAGACCTCATAAGGACCTGAATTTTGCTCACCAGGAGAGAAAAGCAGGCTGTTAGGCTTCATGCCTTTGCCAGGCCTAACTTCCTATTTGAAAGGGAGCTTCCTAGCAGCCAGCAGGGCTTTCCAGCAACTATCAGGGCAACTTCCTTCTGAAACAGGAAGTCATGTCTATCTAAGGCAGGGGTCAGGGAACTTTTTTACCTTTTACCCCCCAAAAAATTTATATACGCCAACATTACCCCCTTGATTCGAAAGGAAGGAAATCATACATTATTTGAATTAAAAATATTATTGAATCTACACAGGCTGTGTACCGAACTAGCAGGATGCACCAAATTTGAAAAGATGTGCACTATTTTTGCTGGAACACATTGCACTCCAGCCATGGTGTTGTATAGGGAGTAGTAAGGTGTCCAACGTGCCTAGCAAGTTGCATTAAATTTTTGCTAGCTTGCAGAGGATCATTAGTGGCTACCAGAGTGGTGCTAGCAATGACATGCTTGCTAGAGACAGCCAACGCAGAATGGGGGGGGGGTTCCCCACCACTTTAACCATTCTATGTGTGGTGTGCAAAAAGGAACAAACCAGGCTAAAGGACATGTCACCCACCCTAGTGCTACAGCCCAATATCAAAGGACCAGTGTGCTTTTTTTATCATCATCAATCGAAAACTCAGCAGTGGTCAGAGGATTGGAAAAGATCAGTCTACATCCCAGTACCAAAGAAGGGCAGTGCCAAAGAATGCTCTAACTACCATACAATTGCACTCATTTCACACACTAGCAAGGTTATGCTCAAAATCCTCCAAGGCAGGCTTCAGCAGTACATGGACCGAGAACTCCCACAAGTAC